TTGGGTTCGCGTCAGCCGCACTTCCCAAAACAAAGTCCACATGTGTCCGTTTAATACAAACCAGACGCGTAGATGGAAGGGGGCCGGCCCCTTCGGCCGGCTGGGCGGGGAGCTATGAAAACTGGCCCTGGAGGGGGGTTATTAGTGGGTTTGACGGCCTTAACCCACATTCTCTGGCGGTGGTGTGAACCCGGCTGACCCGTGGCGGGCCTCGCCACAACAAAAGGGGGTCTGCTCTGTGAAAGACAGGAGATCAAAATGCAACTTAAATAAATAAAAATAAAATAAATAAATAAAAAATACAGAGCTGCCGCTGACAACCTGGGTTTTCAACATCTTGTGTTTTTTCTGTGTTTGAGTTTACGTCAGATAGTGCTGCAAACTGCCGTCCACACAAAAGTTTCAAACAATGACCTTGTACATCTTAGTAACGACCCTCAGCTACTACCACACCAAACTGTGGCTCAATATCTCTAAAACTGACTGTTTGCTAGCTTCATTTAGCTGTGGAGGCCATCTTGAATCAAGCTAACTGCAAAAATTAATCACAGCACTACACATCTAAATATTACTTTGTAGGAGTTTCAAGTCCCATGGTTCATGTGATATTTTGCTAACAAATCTATAATGCATATAAAATTGCATATAAAACATAAAACTTGTGTGCACTAATTTTTTTAAGGATAATTAACCAAAAAGTGACCATTATTATGAAGTAGGCAGAAGTTTTTACATAAAAAATAACAAAGACTTTGCTCAGGTATTTTAATCTCTGAGTATACAAAGTTTACAGTCACTTGGCTTCACATGACCTGGTGTAAAATTAAACAAAACAAAAATATACAATCTTTACTGCCATCTTCTGGTAACAAAGGGGAATTGCAGACAAAATAAACACTGCATATCTATACATTAACAGTTTTGGACCTTTTCTCTACAAAATTATGTTATTTCCTAAACTAAATAATGAAAAATATAAAACTAATTCATAAACTAATAAAAAAGAGAAAGCTGAACGCAAAAATGTTCCCCAAGAATGAACAACAAACTTGAAGGCAGCATTCACAGTACTGCTGATTTGTTTACAAGGATAAAATCAAAAACTGCAATACAACAAAAAAGCAGACTTTAAAAAATTTCATTTCATTAATCTATGCATGTATGTTTTGGCAAAAGTATACGTAAAATAATAAAACAAAAAAGTGAAATTCGTTTTCTCGGAGTAGCCGTTGTAGATTTTCCGGAGCCGTCCGTGAACGCATCATTTCGCTACAACAACCACCGAGCTAAAGTTTATTTCTTCAGATCAAAACTTTTAGGTCTAAATATATGGAGAAAAAAAGTTTGCCTTTTTTAATATATAGATAACAAATAGAAAATTTGAAAGTAGGAAAGGAGAAGACAAACACGTAACTATGGCGGGAAAAACCGATTTCCCGGACAAAGAGAAGTCCTTGTTCTGGACACAAATTAGGATGAGCTGGAGATGTAAGAACGTGTTTTTTATTCAAATTAGCAACTCACGCAAACAAAAAATAAATAGCTAAAGTGGTTACTAGTTCATGCATTTATGTAGAAATGTATAAACGCACATGAGTGTCATTACTTTTAAAGACATTTTTGATATGCTAATGAAATTAGCCTTACTTAGCTAAAACTAGCTATGATGCTAGCTTGACTGATGATGATACAATAACTGTTTACAATATTTTGTTGGCAAAAATTTGTTTATGTTGCTAAAAATATACATTTTTATGTTCTTTATTTACCCACTGACATCCTGGTGTCACAGAATAAACGTCGTGCGGTTGTTTTATTTCAGTAAGTGTGTTTTTAAGTCTGATTCCAAGCTTGTAATATCTGTTTATTTTGTTTATCCCTCAGTTGTGAGCTCGCAATCAAGGGTCTGAAAAAGCAGACCGAGGACCTCGTCTCTCATTCTGGAGAAGACAAAGAAAGAAAAGATCGAACGGCTGAAAGAACAGATAAAGGCCCTCAGGAGAAAAGGGTGGAGGATTTGTGTGAACAACTGGAGGAGCGGAAACAAAGGAGAGAAACTCTGCAGCTGCAGCAGCGTAAACAAGAGCTGCTGGAACTGATAGAAAAACATCATAAAAAACACTCAGAACTGGGTGAGTAATACTCATGTATTGTTCTTTACATGTTGGTTTGATTCAAGGAGGTTCTATAGAACAGCTGGAGTGTACAAAAACCACGTGACCGTGTGATCGGCTGGAGCAGCTAACGGCTAAAAAGGCAAAACTCTGGATTTCCCATCACTGTACATGTTGACAACAGAGCAGAAAAAAAGGACTGACGATGTATAAATCATTAAAACTATTAATAATAGTATTAATCCAATTATTAATATTTTACAGTTTATATAATTTATCTAATGTTTAAAATAATGTCAGAAAAGCTGTTTGTGTTATGGATTTATTAACAGAAGATAAACAGGAAAACGTCTCATTTTACAACACAAGTCAGCAGATTTGATCTTATTTAGCTCAATGTGATCTGAGCAGAACATAATGTAACAGTTTAAAATTAAAATAATCTTATAAAGTCCATGTAATCACTGTTATTTATTGAACTGGTTAGCAGATATTAGCTTGTGGAGCATAAATACAGAGTTTAGCTCTGTTGAATCATGTTACAATTTAACACAAACTATTAAATATTACTTTGTCCTCTGATTAATATTTAGACCTACAGAGTTTAAAATAATATTATAAATGTCTGATTAATATTTAGACCTACAGAGTTTAAAATAATATTATAAATGTCTGATTAATATTTAGACCTACAGAGTTTAAAATAATATTATAAATGTCTGATTAATATTTAGACCTACAGAGTTTAAAATAATATTATAAATGTCTGATTAATATTTAGACCTACAGAGTTTAAAATAATATTATAAATGTCTGATTAATTTTTACACCTACAGAGTGTAAAATAATATTATAAATGTGAGTATTTTTAGGTTTCTGTTAGAGGAACCTGACCTGTTAAGAAGATGTTAGCTAATAGAGACAAGTTTCATCCTATAACCAGAGAACATTTTCTAACTGTTGACTGGTAAATATAAATATTATTATTTTTTATGACAGTGAGAAGAAATAATAAATATACTTTATTACTAGCTGTTACGACCCGGCTGTAAGAGTTGCAACATAATTGGAAACACGACACAGGATGCCAGTTTTAAAACTTTAGAAGGCCATTTATTAAAGTGTCTAGGAGTAAAAAACTGATTTGGTGTCGCCCTCTTGCTCCATACACTGGATGCACAGAGCGTCTGTCTCACCACCTGGACCACTTCAGGTGTGTGGTCCAGTACCAGATCTGCCTCCACACCAAGGTCTCTTGACTGGTCACTGTCCTGCTCCCGGTAGACCTTCTTGTCCACCATTTAACAGCCTCTCTCGGAGTCGTCTCCTTCCAGAAGAAAGCTCTCGTTCTCGTCCTGGTCCGTGCGTCAACATTCAGTCAGTTCCAGCCTTTTTGCGCCACCAAGCCGTCCTCGTACGCCCCTTTGGTCCTTATGAAGATCGCCAGAATGCTCCACACCTCCATTGGAGTCCCGCTCTTTTATGTCTTCGGATCCCAGCGTACCTGATGCCTTTCCTCACACCAGCAATGACGACTTGGTTCCTCACTGCTCCTTCAGCTGCGCCATCTCGCTGCCTACCGAGCTGCTGCGCTTCAGCTGCTGACTCTGCTGCTCAGCTGTTCCTCCTCAGCAGCTCCTCTGTCACTTGTGCCAACTTCAACTTCAACTTCAACTTCAACTTCAACTTCAACTTCAACTTCAACTTCAACTTGTGTGTCTGTGTGCCTCTGTGTGCTTATGCACTGCTGGCTGCTTAAGACCGCTCTGACTCCACCTCCAACAGACCTGGAAGGTAATCAGGTAACAGGACGCACCTGCGAATGACAACACATAGCAGGAGCAGGAGCATCACACTAGCTGAAGTCATCATTTTTCAACTAGCTAAAGTCTAAGTTACAGGCTGACTTCAGGTCTGGTTTAGATCATTGTTATTTATAAATTATATATTTTTCTGGTATAAATCTGCTGTTTTACATGATTGTTGAATGAAATAAATTAACATAATTATTAATTTATTGTAAAAACATGACAGATAATCTGTGAAACAGATTCGGTTCAGCTGCTGTTTGTGAGCCGTTTCTGCTCCTCCATGCTGTCACACAGACGCCACCAGAGGACGATATGGACGGGGCTCAGTCTACCGATCTTTATATTTAAGTGTCTTGAACCCTGTGCAGCTCCACCTAGTGGTGGGATAGTGTCATTTTGCAGGTAAAATAATCAACATGCATTATGGGAGGTGCAGATTATGGCTTTAAAGCAGCTTATTTTAAGACATTAATACATTCTTGAAGCTCTCGCGGGCCACATAAAATGCTGTGGTGAGCCACAATTGGCCCGTGGGCCTCCAGTTTGACACAAATGCCTTGGAGTTTTTTTTTTTTTGAGGTTTCTCTCTTGGAACTTTTATGTCCATGACCCAACTTCATCTTCCCAAAAAAAAAATCACAATCAAAATTGAATTATAAAACCTAATTTATGTCTTCTTTTAGACATATCTTTCCTGGTATTCCGGTACTCATTTGATCATTTTGTTTAAATGAGATGTTTGTTATTGTTTACCCTTGTCTCTCCTCCCCTCAGCTGCAGCTTTGGTTGAAAAAGAGCAGCAGACGATGATCCTGAAGCAGCAGGTTTCAGACATGGAGGCTATGAAGAAGCAACTGGTCAACCTGCCACAGGAGCAGGAAGCTGAACTCCACAGCCTGAAGGTGAAGATGGAGTCAGACATGAAAAAGTAAAAACGTTTGGTTGCTTCGAATCGTCAATCGACAAACAGTAAAATATCTCTCGCTCTTCAACGACAGGTTGGATGAAACCTTGCGGCGTGAAGTGATGGAGCTTTCAGAACTGGAGAACGAGACGTCCAGGACACAGATGAACTGGATCGAGCTCCTGCAGAACATGAAATCCCAAGAGGTTAAAGAGCCAGGCTCTCTGAGAAACACGCGCGATGATTTGGAAGCGAGCGAACGAGACCTGCCGAAGAAGACCGCCGCGCTGATCAAGCAGAAAACCAGCCTGGAGAACGTAAATGTGTTTTTGTTTTTACAGAGAAAAATGTCAAATTCAAACTGAAGTCAGCTCTCTCAGATTATTTTATGAAACGCTTCACTCTCTTCTCATCTTCAGGAGGTGAAGCAGCTCAGGCAAATGTTTAGACAGCTCACCCAGGAGAGGGCGGAGCTTCTCAGCAACCTGTCAGGTGCACAGAGCGAGACTGAGACTCTCAGGCACAAGTTTAATGAGTTTTATTGTCCTAACATAAGAATGAAATCCTAACCCAACACTCCTAATAACAGCCGCCGAATGATCAGAGGCAGTTTGGTTTCTGTTTTTAACCAGTTTTGTTCTCCAAACAATTAGTTTTTATCTTTAAAGCAGAGAAGAAGCATTTTTAGCACAAGTAGGGTTAGATTTGGCAAATGTCACAACCTGTTTAAGTTTTGTTTTACTTTAAACCATCATGATCCGTTTCTCAGCAACATAACTCCATCAATGCTTTAAAATGGACGTCTAAACCTTTCCCGTTTGATTGACGCCTCATTTGACGAACTGGGTTCATCTATTGGCTCTACAGAGCCAATAATCTGTGAGAAGTAATCCAACTTCCGGTTTCGTCACCCTGGGCTAGATTGACTGTAGAATTGACCAATCAGCTTCGAGCTTCATTCTGATGCCACAGCTGTGTAGCCAATCACCTTAACTTTCATTACCTCCGCCAAGGACGAGGTAATGTTTTCGGTCGTGTCTGTCTGTCTGTCTGTCTGTCTGTCTGTCTGTCTGTCTGTCATTCTGTCTGTGGACAACTTTACTCAAAAACTTGTGGACAGATTGTCATGACATTTTTACCACTTGTGGGTACTGACCCAAGGAACACACCTTTAAATTTTGGTGATGTTCCGGATCACGATGCGGATACAGGAATTTTTTTTCTTTTAACACTCTGAGATCGGCAAAGCTGTGATGCTTTCACAGGGCTTCTGTAAAAAACAGTGAGCTGGATTGGACAGCACGGACTTCAAACTTTATACAAACATAAACATAATATGCGC